AATTTTTTTCGAGGAAGTATAGTCGTGGATGGCTAGTTGAATTCACGGACACGGTGGTGTGGTATCTAGGTCGATCACATGCTGATAAAGGATCTGTACAACACAAGTTGTAGAACGTAGGGCAAATGCGCGACAGGACTATGATACAGTCACTATCGGTACGTACATCCTCCGTGTTAATATTTAGTTACATCACGCGCCTCCCTTCCCACTTAATCACCTTCTCGCTGACTTCAATCCTCTGGTACCTCTCCCGAACCTCCTTCAAATGCTCTGCGAGCTCAACAGGGTTGTCCTGATTCACTGCACACAAGTTCGAAGTCGCGACAAGATCTCAGCCACTTCCTATATCAAACTTCGACAAGGTAGAGGGAGATGAAGATGACTCCCGCCATCCGATGACTGGTACGCACGTCACCGTCTTGGAGGAGACTAAACTAATGGAAGGTGTCGTTGCTACCTCATATCGTGTAGGGGAGATTACATAATGGTCTAATGAGGACTGATCCACCTCTGATGATCTGATCGATAAGTTTTCTGATCTCCACGGAAAACAGATTTAACGGAACCATTTCTACATCAGGATTCAGGATGCCAATCGTATAGTACATCCATCCAGCACAAGGGGCACCGCAATATCCACCTGCTTACCAATGTCGCTGAGACTACTTGCATTCTTCGCGTCAGGGACCATGACGCATGATCATCGGGACTGTACGAAGACTGCGGGTTTTCATACGCCAGTCCGGTTCTATTAGATCGTTTGGAGAAAGGCACTCCATGATAACATGATGAGCTGGCACACAAGGCTCGAGCCTTGGGCTCCATAAGACGCGGGTTCTTTAGCCGCGTCTGTACCGCGTCCGTATCGTTAGCTGGTTCAGTCACCTACTCTGAACCTTGAGGCCTGGTCCTCCAAGTTACCTTCACGACCTCCTTCATTGTGTCCTGAAGCATTCCTTCGAGTTCTCTACCATGTCCATTCCCACATCCCCACAGACTCCGATTAGGCATGACTCGGCTGACGTGGGGGATGCCGTCGATTCTAAGTCGGACACCGTGTCAGACGGCAAGGCCCACAAGACCATCGCTTTCATTGCTGAAGTACGGAAGGACGAGCCCTTGGTGACCAAGAGGGAACTCTGGAGCTACTATCGTAAGTCATTCAGTTCTAGGAAGGTTACGCCCGTTCACTCACTTACCTGGTCGTAGTATACTACAATGGTGACAACGTAAGACTTTATGATAGTATTGGAATCTTACTAACTTCGAATATCAGGGTTCCGGTCCTTACAGTTATACCCAGACACTGTTTCAGAACATAGCTACAGCTGCTGGCTATGACCCTGTCTCTGGACCAGGTTCATCATGCCTGGCCGACACTGCGTCAGGCCAATGTGTTCTTCCATGGATGGGCAGCACTAAGTCGGTCTCAAGCATCGTACTTGTCGCCAATGGCGTAAGCTTTGCTATCATGACTGCGCTCTTCACGAGTATCTCATCCGCCGGTGACTACGGCACCTTTGGACGCTGGCTACTTTTCGTTGTCACCGCCATTTGCTGGGCTTCGCAGTATGCTTGCATGTCGCTTACATGTATGTATTGTTCGCGAAGGTTGTCCAGGAGACGATTAACCGCGCATGCCAAACAGCTCCAGATCGGTGGAAACTCGCAATGGTGCTCTACATCATTGGGTACGTCACTTACGGGGCAACGCTTATCTTCTACGCTGCTGTGTTCCCTCGCCTTGCCCGCAATACCCCACGCACTCGCAAGCTTCGTGATAAATATGAGAATGGCGAAATATCGACTTGAAGAATATGAGCTGGGAGAGTCTATGGAGAAGAACAGGATCAGTAACATATCCTTGGTTTGTTCATAGCCACGTCCGCGCACCTGCCCTCATTTGATGCACTCCAGGCGCAAAGTAACATCGGTTGGGTTGTCATGTTCGCGTTGAACCTGGCCCTCCTCACCGCACCAAAAACCGCGAATGACCCCAAGGTCCAAAATTATACCGTGGTAATGTGCGTTTGTTGATTGCTTTATTCGAGCTCTTGCTAAATTGTCATAGGGATAATTCATATTGGGTTCTCCTGGGAGTATGGTGGTGTACGCCTCTTGTCTTGGAGGTGTGTCCATAAATCACTTAGTGTTCTTTTTCAGTCATTTTCCAATTGCCTCGGCCTGGTCCTCCTTTACCCAAGGGCGAACACTACCTCACTGTAGGATGGAAGCAGGTAACCTCACAGATCCTATGTCGACACCGTGCGCGTGTTCACATCAAAGTTAGGTCTGGGCAGCTCTGAAAACTTACAAGCAGCTGCCGTACACTTTTGTGTATCTCGTCGCCTTCTTCCTTTTGGCGGACGTGAGTGTCCCTTCTACTGCACTTAGCAACATTGCTGAGTATGGTCTGGCTAGGGATTCAATACCACAGCGACACTTATAGCTATCTGCCAGAACGAGAAATTTCACTTCTCGTTCTTGGAACAAACATACCTCGGTTTAACAGCGGGCATAGCTTCGATTTTCAGCACATTTGGATTCTGGTACATACAGCGGTACTGGAAGATCAGCACAAAGAAGATGGTTTACCCGTTCCACAACCTCTGGAACAAATTTTCTGATCTTGACGTCAGTTTTCCATCAATATTATCGTGACAACTTTGTTCCCGCTCTGGGGTATGATCGGCATCTGGACTGACAAGTTTGGGTGAGTAGTCGAATGCGCCCCGACTGGATTTCTGACCGATTTTCGTTGAAGGTTCCACAATGCATGGGAATTCTGGTAGGGAATACACCTGAGAGCGTGTTAAGTCTGCTCATGACAATCGACTCAGGGCCTACAGTGTCATACTAGGGCTATTCCAATTACCGTACTTTTCCTATTCGCAAACGATGATGGCCGAGCTCAGTCCTCCAGGCTTCGACAATATGGTGCGTTGTCTCTCTTTTCGTATCGCTTCCCTTCCTTGACCACTATCGCAGTTCTTCGGTCTTTTCGGCCTCTCCAACCGCGCCTCGTCCTTGATTGGGCCAAACGTGATTCAGGCGATCATTGACAAAACCAACAATACCTGGCAAGGCTTCCCTTTCCTGTTTGCGCTGTGCATGTCTGCGTCTCTTGTCATTTGGTTCGGTGTCGACGTTACGAAAGGCAGGCGGGATGCTGTGAGGTGGGCGGTGGCTCAGCGTGGCGGTTGAACGTGTCAAGAGAGATGTATCTACATATCAATGTTGCGTGTGAGACTGCTAAATGCGCTCGAAGAACTGGAACGTTTCTTGAATTGAAGTTGATGCGACTGTGCTGCACAGGGGTCAGGGCACGTGACATCTCTTTAATTCCTGAGTTGCCTTTTCCAGCTTGAGCTCGAGCTCATCATCCTCCACGACATCGACGCGCTCTTCATCATCGTACACACATGTCAAAAAGAGGCTCATCTCCACCAGTAGAAGGCACGCTCATTAAAAGAGCTCGCTCGAACTCACCGCCAAGAACCAACTTGTCATATCCTCGTCTGGCGATGACCGCCAGAAAGGTCTCGTTCGTAGCGTAAAACGCACGAGTAGTCTCGAGGCACCGATCATCAGCTTGAGTGGGTCGCATTCGGTGAGTGAACAAGCTATGGCGTCGGTGTGATTACCTGCCTTACTCATTCTCTCCTCAAGGCCGAGATATTCAGCTGCAGATTTGACCCCACCGGGCAGAACATCGCTGCCTGTTCCGCTGACAGAAGTGTTTGTGCGTAGCCCATACGTTGCATTTGCGCTTTATCGCTTGACACTGTACATAGCGTTATGGAGGACATACCCCCCAAACACAAACTACGGGTTGCTATCAAACATCCACAAAGCACCCATCCTTGACCTCCAATGGTCACTGTACTCGCCGACTCTCTACACTGTTTCTGCCGACCAGACAATGAACATGACTGACGTTACTACGGGTCAGCGTATCAAGAAGATACGCGCACACCGTGGCATCATCAACTCGCTCGACCGAACCATGGCTGGTGGCGCTGGCATCGAATTGATTGCAACGGGTTCAGACGATGGAACGGTGAGGATATGGGAGGGTGGCGAGGAGGGTGGAAAGCAGAGCGTTGCGGTGTTTGAGGTCGGGTGCCCTGTGACATCCGTTTGCTGGAGTGCGGATGGTCAGAACGTGTACATTGGCGCGCTGGACAACGAGATCCACGTGACGTATTTTTTGTGCCGAACACGCCTCTCTACATATTCATCCTATCCAGTCCACAGGTGTATGACGTCCGCAAAAACGAACAAGTCTACTCGCTCACCGGACATACGGACACTCCGACGTCCCTGGCGCTTTCGCCAAACGGGTCGTATCTCCTCTCTCCCTCGTTCTCCTCCCAAACCATCATTCACGACATTCGGCCCTTCTCGCCGTCGCCGTCCCGGATACACCGTGTCCTCCAAGGGGCACCCGCAGGGTTTGAAAACACGCTGTTAAAAGGCGCATGGAGCAAGGACGACGATGGACGCCGCGTTGCTGTCGGTGGTGCTGACAGAATGGTCTGTGTCTGGGACGTCGAGAGCGGGCGAGTGCTGTACAAGGTCTGTTTGTTCCCTGGTATATCGCGTGTCAACGCACTTATCTGTGTCTTGTCTACAGCTTCCTGGTCACAAAGGAACCGTGACGTCCGTAGACTTTCATCCGAAAGAACCGATCAGTGAGTCTCTTTTTCGTCTGTTGCAAAAACCATGGTCCTCACGCGGGTTATTGCACAGTTCTTACTGGTAGCAAAGATGGTACGATGCTGCTTGGAGAGATTGAACAGAGCATTAGCGCTGTAGTTTTGTATTCATGCCTCGCTAAAATGCCTTGTGTCGATTGCAGCACGGCGGCTATCGTCAAAAAAACAAATTATAAGAAACTATCTGATTATCATGTAACTTTACTCTTGAAGCCAGTTGAAGCCTCGCGAGCTCGTATTGAATTTCACGAACATGGAAAAAATATCAACAAAACAAGATGACCACCGCAGGGCTCGAACCTGCAATCTCCTGATTAGACATCACATCGTAGTCAGACGCGATGCCATTTCGCCAGGCGGCCGTTATGACTTGGCAACGCATAAAAAATTATGGGACTGTAAACCAATTTACATACCAAATTGATTCCTTGCATCTTCGAACGAAACGTTTTTGGTTGTCAAAGACCGTTCAACCTTTTCGGTCGACTCTTGGGATCGCTCACTGGTTCTAGTCTAATGGGTATCAAACCCTCACAAAGTCGAAATATACCCCCTTCCTGCTGTTTCGTTCTGCAACGTGTCGCTCTTTGTCCTGGCGGTTGTTCTACTAGGCTAGGCCCACTACCAGCAATCACTTCTTTGTGCCCTGCGCTAGCCTGTTTGGATGTTGGCTGGTTCGCGTCTGTCACTCCGCGCCCGAGGCCTCCTGCTAGGTCTCGACGCATCTCCTTCCCAAGCCAAGACCTCTCCCCCACCTCCGTACCGTGCGACATCCCAACGTGACGATCAATTGACATGCTTTTCTTTCCCAGCACAACCGGAACAGTGGAACCAGCGATCCATAGAGGAGCTCTCTGATCTGCTCCACAAAGCCGACGAACTCATCAAAGATCGCGAGCATGGTGCGTTATTCATTTTCCGTGGTTGCTGAGATGCCGTTTTGTTGACCCTTTGACCCTGCACCAGAGCTCGACGTGACCACTGCGGTATGCAAGAGTCTGTACGAGGACAATCTCGAGCTGAAGAACAGACACATTGCCCTCGTGGCTCGGTTGCCGCCTTCACCAGCAGGATCGACCTCTCCGTCGCCCACATCTCCTGGCTCTGACTCTGACTTGATCCAGTCGCCTCATCGCATCGCAGACGTTTCGCAGACATCCCCGAACGCTCATTTGTGCGCCCCACCTATTCGACGACATCACCGCCTAGCTTCCGTCTCACCAGCAGACCTGGCTCTCTTGTCAGACCAGAATGCAGAGCTCCTCGCCAAACTCGAGAGGCTCGAAACCGAGTCCATACAAGCTGACCAGTCAGGACGCAAGAAGCTCAGAAGCCTGGAGAATGAAATCCAGGGGCTTCGAGACGAACTCGACAAAACACGTGCAAGAAGCGACGAGCTCGAAAAACAGGCCAGGGTTGTCAGTGGGACCACGGTTCAGAGAGGCGAGGAGGAGGCGGAGAGAAAGAAGCGAGAGAGGGAGGAGAAATTTCGTGCACTGCGCGGCAGGACGGGAAGTGAAGCGGAGGAGCCCGAGATCCGGGATTTTGCCCCTGGCGGTGCGCTGTCAGCAAGAGCGAATTCCCTTGGATTAGAGCACCCTTCCAAGGTCAGACTTCCGCTCCGACGCAGGCACATCTCTGAAGCCGTCCTTCGGCCACTGCGTTTTGGAGACGATACTTTTCCTGAGCGACCGAGGAGGGTATCTCTGCAAAGTGGGCTGTCGCGCTCCGCTCCGCAACCTAGCCACACCCTCTTCCCCGCAGTCCAATCCCCAATAGCTGTAAATACCGAGGATGCCCTTGTTTCTCAGCTGCTGCTGAAAATACGGGAGCTCGAAGTGACCAATGCCCAGATTACCGAGCAACAATTGAGGACTGCTTCCCAGTTGCAAGCTGTGCAGAAGGACGCAACGAGCCTCCGCCTTGTTTACGAGAGCCTAGGAGATGGAGAAGGTGTTGAGTGGCTTGCTGAGGACGACGGAGAGAGTTCACAGACAGAAGATGAGGAGGAGGATGAAACGATCCGATTCCCAGACCTATGTCGTTCTCTAACGGCTCAACCATCCATCGATTTTACCGGCGGAAATGACCTGGATATGCAGAGCAGCCTAAGACAGACAATTATTCCAGACCACGTTCCTGTCATCGCCCACCCGAAGGTGAGACGGTCGGTCGTTGGTCTGTTTGACTCGCCTCGAGGGTCGACGTATTCGCCCAGTTCTCCCACTTCCGAAGGCACGCCATCTGTTCTCGAACTGATGATTCCTGGTCTGCCGCCAGTGCCATTCGTTCCACAGCCGAGCAATACCTCCACGACCACTTTTGTGTCCCGCTCCCCTTCACCTATTTTAAGCCCTGGCCTGGGGGGTACGGTACCTTATCCCCTAGAAGACGCTCCATGTTATTCAACCCTCGATAGTGAGCTCGGGGCCGCCTTTGACGGCAAGTGGGACGGCCAAGAAGGTCAACACGGCAGTCCAGAGAACCATCATTTCCGAACTCCGAGTCTTGCTGGCTTGACGTCGATCGTGCTTGGCGCCGAAGATATCAGTGACACAGTTTCCCTGTCTTCGCCTCACACTCAGCCTATCATTTATTCCGCACAATATGAAACAGAGCGATCCACCGACGCTTTCAGTTCAGTGTTTTCATCCCCCCAGGAAAACATCAGGCTTCACCCTGGAGCTTGGCGCGGGCTTTCGAGCCCTCCAGATGTCGAATTCGAAACCCTCGCTGAAAAGAAGCGTCGGACTATTCGACTGCGGACTACGCACTGGAACGAGGGTCGGTTTGGCGGGACACTTCTCCCCTCAGAAAAGCGCAGCAGCGTTGACATCAGTCGACCGCCCACACCTATACCGGAACGGCTTGTCAATGCGTTTGAAGCCATCGTAGACACGATGAGCCGCAACAGGAGTGAAACAGACTCGTCGTCTGATTCACGGGATGACCAGCGAGATTCTGCAGAGAGCTCGACTGTCGTGATTCGCTCCACGTCAGACACGGTGACGAAGGAACATCCACGGCAGCGAGGTGTAGTGGCGTTTGTTTTGGAAATCTGGCTCTGGCTGCAATTCGTGATTATTGTGGTTGTCTTCGTATGGGCGATGGCAAAGCGCGGTCCGAAGAACGTTTTGGAGGCGGCTGGAAGAAAAAGAACTGGTGGTTCCAGAGGGCCAGGGTAGTGAGCCTTTTTCTATGTGAAACGGACTGCTTGTTTGGCCTCTTGCTTGGACAGATAGGTTAGAGGTATATTAATGTTGTTGTAAATCGTGTACGCTCAGGCTGATCTAATGGTATCTTGTGTCTGCTGAGTCCTGACTACCATAGATGTTTCACTAATAGGGTCGAGTAAGGTCAGGTTTATCCATCGAAACTTGCATGCTGTGATGAGAGACCGAAAAGCGGTCATTGGACCCCTCGTCAATCTCATAATAACATAGTCTCTCACTTCCACTATGTCGTCGTCGTCGTCGTCGTCGTCTTCGGAATCTAGCAGTCCGCCTCCACCTGTGAGAAAGAGAAAGAAAGAAGAGACGGAAGCATCATCCGACAGCGAAGGCAGCTCGAGCGCCAGTGACGACGACGAAGATGCAGAGGACGCAAACGAACGAACGAATCGAAAACGTCCTCTCCCATGCCGAACGCAGACGGCAGAAGAAAAAACAACTAAAACCATCGAAACCAAATCCAAACTCAGGCTCCCCCTCCAAAAAAAAGCTGAAGCTGGGTGATGATAGATCAACGCTAGCCGCACTAGCACTCATCACAACGCCAAAACTCGATCTGGGTCGGCAATTTGTCGTTCTGGACGACTCAGGATGCGCTGAGGGCGTTTTTCGAGGGCGTCGGTGAGATCACGCGGATACACATGCCCGCCAAACCGGGGAAGAAGGGGGAGAACATGGGGTGAGTCTCGACGATGATGATGTGTCTTGTCAAAAGCGCTGTCACTGGCAGACAGTGTTGTTCCCTCTAATGACAGAGGTGTTCGCTGTTTAGGTTCGCGTATGTCGATTTCGCGACTCCCGACGCGAAAGTGATCGCTATCACGCTTTCAGGAGGGTCAGCTCGAGGGTCGCAACCTTCTCATCAAAGATGGTGCGTGGTCGCTTCCATGTGGACTACTGTGCCCCCCAACCATCTCAGTTCAGCTCATCTAACCGATCTGTACAGGAAACGACTTTAAGGGACGGCCCGCCGCCAACGTCCCTGGGGGAGCCGCACAGGACAAGCCGAGCGCTCGCTGGCGGCGCAAAAGCAGCGTCGACGGTCCTTACCAAGACCGCCCAAAAAATCTTGCGCGTACAGAAGCAGCCGCCTGCACCGACTCTCTTTCTCGGCAACCTAGGGTTCGACACTACGGAAAGCTCGATACGTCAGTTATTCGAGGCGCACCGTCGCTATAAACACGGTGGGGAGAAGGGGAAAGGCAAGGACGTCGATGCGGTGTCGATGTTGATGTCAAGAAGGAGGAAAGCGCGGACCAAGAGAAGAACCGAAGGAGGTCTGGATACGAAAAGTGCGCATGGGCACGTTCGAAGACAGCGGTGCATGCAAGGGGTCGGTTGAGCCTTGGCGTTATTTTTTTTTTTGCGCACTTCTGACTGAATCTACCCACCCAGATTTGCGTTCGTCGACTTCACGAGCATCGAGCATGCCACTGAGGCTCTCGTGCACCCATTCGAACCATCGCTTGAATGGACGGAGCTTGGTTGTCGAGTATGCGTCTGCTGATGCTGTTCCGGCGTGGTGGAGGTGGTCCAGAAATCCGAAACAGGTCCGGGGCAGTGGGGAGAAGAAAGTGTTTGAGCATACCCCGAGGCGTCGGTCTCAACACCCGGCCAAGCAAGAGGAGCATGGAGATAACATAGAGGTGGAGGTTGAAGAAAAGTCGACACCTAGACCTCGTTCACAACGACCGGATCGTGGCGGTCAGGATCGGTCACACAAAGGCCGCATGAGGCCAGGTGCTGCCCTCGCAGAGGCTCCAAGGCAGTCCGGTGCCATTGTGCCCAGTCAAGGGCAGAAAATTGTCTTCTAGTTCATACCAATGAATGCGAGGCGAAGCAAAGTTACTTGATTCATTAGATCTCGTACACCAATGGTAAAATCTGCGAGTGACCGGTCAGGTCTCTTCCTCATCCTCCCCATCTTCAAACATGCCAACTTCAAATTCGCCGCAAACGTCCCATCGTGAGCCTGGCGCCGCAGCCGAGACGTACTTGACGAAGCGTAGTACGCCCTCGTCTCGCAGTACTAATAGCAAGGTGTTGAAACTTGGCTGGACGGTCAGTAGAGTGCCATCCTCATCGTCACTATCATGCTCCTCCGCTTCCGTCTCATCACGAGCGTCAGCTAA